CAGTAAATGCCTGCTGGGTTTGTCCCCATGGCTACAGGTTATTCTCTCCCAGCACTCCCCTGCCCCTTTATGGCAAAAAAAAAAGGGGGGTCAGTTCCCCAAAAGGATAAGGAGTTCACCTATGTGAAAATGATCTCACCCTTCCTTAGTTCACAAAAACAATTTTATTAACCCAGTAAGTGAAGACCCAGTCCCTTCCCACCCCCAACCCCCTCAAAAGGGATTGAGAAAGGGAGAAACCTGGGGCAGAAATGTCCCCCATCCCTCAACACAGAAGACTGGAGAGAGGACAAGGGGCTGTGCAAAGAGGTCACGGGAGGTGTGCATGGGGGGGTAAGGAGACTATTAGACCAGGATGGCAGCTGAAGAGGAAGGGGGTGAGGGTGGGGGATCTGTCGAAGACCCCGGGAAAACAAGAGGGGTTGGAGCTAGGGAGCCAAAGGAGGTGGGGAGTGTGGGGCTGGAGCCCAGAAGTGGGGTCCGTTCTGAGGCAGGTTGGTCCCCTGGCTCCCCTTCCTCATCACCCTCTTGCCCCTGAGTTTCATCCTCATCCTCGTCCCCCGGACCCTGGTGGACAGGCTGCTTGCAGATGGGACAGGTCTTCCGGGTCTGGGTGAGCCAGGGGTCCACGCAGCGGCTGTGGTAGGCTGCGAGAGGCAGGAGGTGAGGCACCTGGCGCCCGCCGGGGTGGGGAGGCTGGGGGTGGGGGCCAGGAAGTGAGGGCCTCACCATGAGCACAGGGCAGCACTCTCAGCTTGTCCCCATCCTCATACTCATCCAGGCAAATGGCACACACATCATACTGGTCTCCTGGGGGCAGGAAGGAAGTCCTCTCACTGAGCCATCCTGGCCCAAGGCCCCCAAGGACTCTGGGAGCTGTGGAGCTGAACCCTGCCAGTTACCCTCCCTAGCTTTCACTGGGCAGGGTGAGGCCAGAGCAGGACATGAAGAATCTGGGGTTAGGAGGGAAGTGGGTTTCTGGTGGGGAGACAGTGGGAGGGGCAGAAGTGGGGGGCAGGGCTTCTGCTGTAGCCCTTATATGGGCACTGGAGGCTCCAGGGCCTAGAGACCCAGCCCCTCCTTACCTGTTTCCTCCTTCTCACACCAACTCCTCCCGACTCCTTCCATTTCGCTGCTCTTTCACCACCCTTACGGGCAAGGTCAGTCCTCCAGCTCTCCCCCCAACCCTTCCGTTTAACCATCTGTGCTCTCTACCTCCCACTCTATTCCTGTCCGGACCGCACCGTACGTAAGGTAAGGAGAAGGAGAGCTGGCATCCCAGGCTGACACCTCCCATCTCTGCCCCTTGTCTCCTGAGCTCCACTTCTTCAGCACCAGGTGAGCTGTGGGAAAGGCCCCCGTCTCTCCCCAGGCCCCTCACCCTTCTGATAGTCATGTGTAGGAATCTGTTTTAGTTGCTCTTTGGTCAGTCGGTTCCGCTGGAGCCGCTTCCGGTGCTGGATACAACGGACTACCTGGGGGAAGGGGGCACGGACGGATCCGAGTTAGGGAACAAAGCTGGGCAAATCCAGTATGACACCCCCCGGCCCCCCAACCTCCCACGCACAGACCCAGTCTGGCTTTAAAGGCCCCAGCTCTTCCCATCACCCTCCCTGAGCTACTCACCATCACTGCTCCCATGGCCAGAACCAGCAGGCCCACGATGCCTGTGAAGGGGATGAGGTAATACCCCAGAGGGAAGCTATTGTCTGGGACCAGAAGCACCCGAGCCCTGGGAAAAGGAAGACCAGGATCAGAGGAGCAGGAAAGGCAGAGGAACAGGGTAACTGGTGTTGGACGAGGCCCACGGACGGGGAAGGAGGTGGGAGGAAAGTCTCGAGGCAGAGTGAGAAGGACCTAAGGCTGAACGGCCAGGGCGCGGAGGCATGGGCTCCAGGCTGGCATGGAAGGAGTGAAGGCAGAGTGGGAAGGAGGGATGCGTCCTACCCCTTCTCGTAGACAAAGAGGGCACGCAGGTACTCGGAGCTCCTCTCCCCAACAAACACAGACGGGATCCAGATCTGCTGCTGGATTTCCTCTGCGGGGATCAGTGCATGGCGCTGCGGACCCAACCCTCCACTCCGCTCCTTCGTTGACCCTGGCACTTGGCCTTCGCTCCACCCCACCCCAAGGACTGACCTGTGCGCCCTAAGGTCTCAGCCGCCCCCCGCCCGCCCCGATCTGAGCTCTACCGAGACCCAGCTCGTCCAGGTGCCCCAACCTTACCGCTGTTCCACACCATGTTCAGAAGCTCGTTGGAGTTCACGTTGTGTACTACAGCTGCGCCGTACCCCGCCTTCTGAGCATTTAGGACCTGGGGGGACAAGGCAGGGGATAAGGGGCCACCGTGGCCCTTGCCTCCCTTCATTCCGGGTGCCTTTGGTCACCCTCAGCTTCCCAGCTCCCACTCCACATTCAGCAACCTTGAGGTCAAAGTTGCAGTCGAATCTCCGAAGCAGTGCAATAAAGACTGACCCGTTGACCGGGGCTGGGGGTGGAGGGGCAATGGGGCTGCAGGCATTGGCCGGGTGAGCCTCCACAAGGAAGCCCTGGGGAAGAGAAGCAAACAACAGTTGGATTTCACCTGCTTAGGTGCTGCTCCCCACAGGGTCCCACCAAGCACACTGGTGGCCCCATGCTGCACACACTATCCCTCGCTTCCTCACCCCTGAGCATCCCACCCCGGTCAGAAGTCCGCCTCCTGAAGAGGTGAGGACATGGAGCAACACCCCTCTCCCTGTCCCAGAGGATCCTACACCCCACACTCCACGCTCATTCAAATCCTCCTGCCTTCTCGTTTCCCAGATCGTAAACCAACTAACTCCCCACTCAACCGTGTCGCGCCCTCTCAAGCTCGTGTCCCATCCCCGGCTCCAGCACTCCAGCACACTGCCACAAAACATACTCCCCTCTGTTGAGACAATGGCAAGAGGCCCAAAATGGAGTCACCGGTGCTAAGCCCCAGAGCGCCAAGCCAAGACTTACCCCCTAACTGAATTAGCTCCAGCCTCCCGCAAGAACGGGGCTGTAAACCAGTCCATCCGGAATTAGCCGGTCAGAACTCGCGAGGTCATCTGCCCCACAGACCCCTGCCCTCCCTTGAAGAGAGACGATCTTGCCACCATCGCTCTAACCGCTAGCATAACTTACTTGTCCTGCCACCTCGAGCCTACCAAAGCTTCTCATTTCCGTACAGCTCTTCGAAGCTCCTTTCTATCTGCTACACGGGATGCTTCCCGATTCATGAACTGTTGACTAAAGCCAGTAAGACCCTGAAAACCCCCACACTTACATTCTCTTTTATCGCGTCAGTGATCCACCCACCCACCCAACCGACGGCTACACGGACACCTACGGCCCTGAGTGCTTGCTAAACGGTCGTCCTCATGATGAAGCACTCCAAAACTGCTTATGTAACGTGACTCTCGCAACTGCCCTCAGGAAACTCCCCTCGGCCCATTGTACAGGAAAGCAAACTCAGCGGCACAGAGCGAATTAACTCGCCCGACGTCCTAAGACCCTGCTGGCAAGCGGCCCTTTCCCCGCGGGCATCTTCGTCTCCCGCCAGCGCCCCTCCAGAGGGCCCAGGCTTGTTCAGCAGGAGACCTTACGTCTTCTCCCTCCGGACTCCGCATCCCGCCCTACCTGTGCTCCTGCGCGTGGTTCCTAACCTGCCTCCAGCGTCACGCAAGGGGCGAGGCCCCTCGACCCCCGCCCCCCGAGAGAGAGCACAAAAGGGAAGGAAATCACCTGCAGCCCCTCCTGGCTCAGGGCGGCCCCAAAGAGCGCTGGCAGGTCTGCGAAGTCCATGCTGGTATTGTGGTCCGAGGTCTGCGGACGAGAGAGCCCGTGTTCCCCGGGCGCCGGCAACCCCGCCCTCCCGCGCCCTTCCCCCACCCGCCCCTCGACTCACCGCTCGGATGAGCCCCCGCGCGGGGGACGCTCCCCACAGCACGGCGGCCACCACCACAGGAAGCGGGAAGGCCGCGGGGTGCATGGCAGCGGGCGGCGAGAGGCCGAGGCGGCCGCGCCCCGGTGGCAGGAGCAGAAGCGGGGTCCTGCGCCCTCTCCGCCCCTCCTTCAGGCTCCCAGGGGTCCAACCACCCCCAGGCCCCACTTCCCAGCTACATGGGGGCGCGGGGGAGGAGCCCCGAGTCCGGGAGCGGGGGGCCCAACCCGGCTAGTGGAGCGGGGAGGGAGGCACTCAATGTATCCTTCTCGGGTACAGGGACGAAACCGGGAACGGGGACCGAGGCAAGCACAGGTGACAGAAAAACTTCTGGGAGGGTGGGGGCGCTCGGGGAGGCGGGACTTCCGGGCAGGTGAGCTGTCTTCCTCACGGCGGGGAAAGGGCTTCCGGGAAGGAAAGGCAAGCCGCCTCCAGCATTGGGCGCTCAAGAGGAAGGACTTCCGGTCCTAAAAGGCCCGTTGAAAGAAAGGTTAGAGGCGGAGGGAGTGCGTTTGCAGATGCAGCGAGCACCGAAGCCCCAGCAAACGATCCAGTCGCTCCCCCTCTCATGCCCGGGATCTTGGAGCCGTCCGATTTACAAACCTCTCCACCCTTTCTGGCCGCCGCCGCGGCTGCGGGACCTTCAGGTCTCGCGAGAGTCCTCCCCACACCTTCCCTCCCACCGGCCGAACGCTTGCGGCGCCTATCGCGAGAGAACCGCCCCCCGGCTTCCCCCGCTCACTCTGTCTCGCGAGATCTCCTGACACCCTCTTTATTTTCCCGCGAATCCAATTCGGCGAAAAGTGCGTCTAAACTATGGCTTCCTAAGCCAGCCACACCCCTTCCCGCACCCCTCCTCGAAGCCCCGCCTCCGGCCCCGCCTTCCTCCCGGCCGCCTTTGCGCCGCGCGCCTGCGCCTGCGCCGGCTTCCAGCTGGGGCCGGCCCCGAGA